AGGGGGCTGCTCGATGGGGAAGGAACCTGTGGTTCAGGTAGATATCTGGCCGTCGTGCTTTTGCCGTGGCCGAGCACAGCTCAGGGCAACGTCGGGAGAGGAAAGGCTGAAAGGACCGGACACGCTCAGCTTGGAGGAAAGGCGATGTGGGGGGGCACGTGGCAGCCGTCTGCAAAGACCTGATGGGCTGCGCGCAGGCAAGGGAAAGCAGCTGTTCTCCCTGCCGCAGAGAGCGGGAGACAAAGCAGTGGCTTCAAACTGCAGCAAAGCAGGTTTGGATGGGATCTTATCATCTCATAAAATCCTAGAGACGTGGGGCGGGAAGGGACCTGCAGAGGTCACGTCTAGTCCAACTCCTGCCTGAGGCAGCATCCAATCAGCCCAGACAAACCCATCATCTAAACTCTTTGTAAAACTATCATCACCCCCGATGCAGCACCAGACATCACACCCCCGGCCCCTGCCGCAGGGAAAGTGGAAGCGGGGCGGGCCGTGGCAGCCAACGTCCCGCTGCAATACATGCTCCAGAGACCCCAGGCCGAGGCAGAAGAAGGCAAAACCCCCTCAGTCTGTACCAGTTTGAGGAAAATTCCCTCCTGACCCCAAATGTGGCATCGGTCTGGCCCCAAATGAAGGGCCAAGACCCTCTAGCCAGGACCCTGCGGGGTTGCATTGGCACAGCCCAGTCCCATCCCCAGCCTGGGTTGCAGCAGCACCCAGTGCCCTAAACCCCCCTGACACATGGAGCAGAAAGGGGGTGGGGGGCAACCAAGATAACCCAGAAACCTGGGACATCCTCATAGCATCGCTGCGCCCCAGTGCCCGTCCAGCCTCTCCTTGGGCCCGCCAGTGATGGTGAGTCCCCCCTTCCCTGGCGTCCATCCCATGGTCTCCCTGCTCTGCCACTGAAGAAGTGTTTCTTGATTTTCAATCTACATCTACTGTCTCCGAAGAGATGTCCTTGCTGTCAGAGCAGGGGTGCAGGGGAGCAGCTGGCCCAGGGCAGGGGGGATCTCCTCCCCGGGAGCTTTCCCGGCTGGAGCAGCGCTGGGCAGGGAGGGTGAGGAGCAGCATCCTGCACCCAAGCAGGGAGTCGGGCCAGACGCCCCGTGCGGTCCCTGCCAGCCCTGGGACTCTGGGTGTCAGCTGAAGCCCTGGCAGCAGTGAGCCCCGGGGCAGGGAGGAGGGTGGTGGGGCTGGATCCCCGCTGCATGGATCCAGCTGCAAGGATCAAGACCCCCTGGGAGGCATCTCAGGACCTGGATTTGGACACCTAGGTTTGGATGCTCCAGCCCCGCTAACCACCTGCTGACCAGATTAAGGACTGCCAGCGGTTGCCTGCTGCCATAGGGGCGCTAAGCAAGCCCTCTCCCCAGCTTGCAAAAGCCAAGTCGGATGGATGGACAGACAGACAAGCATGCATGCAGGCTGCTGCCTTTGCTGGAGACTCTTTCAACCCATGCCCCTCACCTAGCCTGGTGGGGCAGTGGGAATGGACCAGTTCTCCAATGGGTCCACATCCTTTCTGTAGCAGGGGGTCCACAGCTGGACCCAGGACTGCAGATGTGGCCTCCCCAGTGCTGAATAGAGGGGAAGAATCGCATCCCTCCATCTGCTGCAATGCTCCTACCAATGCAGCCCAGGATGCCAGTAGCCTTCTTGGCAACACGGGCACACTGCTGGCTCACAAAAGACAGAACCAGGAGGAGAGCTCAGGCCCCCCTACATTATGATCTCTCCATCCTTGGAGGTATTTAAGCCCCGGCTAGACAAAGCCATGGCTGGGATGATGGAGTTGGGGCTGGTGCTGCTTGGAGCAGGGGGTTGCACTAGATGTGACCTCCTGAGCTCCCTCCCAACCTTTGTGATGCTATGTTCACAACCAGGGCCTGGCTCCCCTGCCTTTTCCTCCACCTGCACAAGGAATGCAGCCACTTCTGGGGTGGATCAGAGCACAGCACAGTCAGATAGGATAGTAGCCTCGTAACATTTTGTACCTGCAGCCTCAATCAAACGAATGAGGTTTTGCAAGGCATGGAGCTTCGTAGGGCTCGGACAACCTCAGTCCCCAAGTTGGTTCAATAGGATGGGGGAATCTCGGCCTCCTTGTTCTCAGGGGCATCAAGCACTGACTAGGGAACAGAGAAGCAGGTTGGCATCTTCAGGGCTTTCTCCAGTGAGGAGCAAAAATGTGGAGATAAGGTGGCTTTGTGGAGGAGCTGCAGCCTCGCAGATGATCCCAGCCAGGGGCAGGGGGAAGCAGCTTTGGAAGTGATGCTAAAATATAAGACAGCAGAAGGGAAAACTGCAGCCTCCGGGCTGGGCTCTGTCTGCAAAACCAAGCGCCTAAAATACAGAACTGCGTCTATTTGCTGATCTCCAGCGCGCTCTGGCGTCAGCACAGCCCCACTGCTGCCCTGCTCCCGAAAAAGGAGGAATAAATAGATGGGGTTGCCTCTGACACCGGGCTGCCAGGGCGAGGGCCTGAGAGGGGGACAGCGGCATACCCTGGGGAGGGCAGAGGCCCGTATGGGAGCTGGAGGAGCAAGGCCATCTCTGAAAGAGCATCATGCCTGATACTGCGGGGCTGGAGATTTTAAACCCCTTCACCACCAGTCGTTCTCAACCCTGGGGTGCTGCGAGAGCCTCTTAAGGGTGCTGCTCTGGATGAGCACTGCTAGGTTTGCAAACACCCAACTGAGGGGGGTTTGATCACAGCCTTTAAATCCCTAAAGGGCAACTGCAGAGAGGCTGGAGGTGGGAGTGTTGCCAGCAGGTCAAGGGCAGTGATTCTTCCCCTCTATTCAGCACTGGGGAGGCCACATCTGGAGTCCTGTGTCCAGCTGTGGATCCCCCACTACAGAAAGGACTTGGACACGTTGGAGAATTGGCAATGAAAATGGCTGGGGGGTGGGGGGACAAGGACTGGTGAGGAGAGGCCGAGGGAACTGGGCTGCTTTAGTCTGCAAAAGAGAAGACCGAGGGGGATTGAATAGCAGCCTTCACCTCCCTGCAGGGGGGCTGCAAAGAGGATGGAGCTGGGCTGGAAAGGGGGAAATAGGTGGAAATAGCAGATTCCCAGCACTGCCCCCCATCAGGCCCTCCTTACCAGCCTTCCCCAAAAACGACTGACCCAAAGAGGTCCCGTTTCATCCATGCTCTTCCTCCCTTGCCCACGGCAGCAGCCGGCGCTGCCCTGCTCCCTACTCCTCCATGTAGGTATTCAGTTGTGCCAGGCCGCAGCTGTGCCAAGGTATAGTCAGCTCTGGTGCCAGAAAGCAGTCTGGGGAAAAGGAGCTCTCATGACCTCTGGATCCTCCAACAAGAAAGAAAAAATAAAAAGAAAAAGAAAAATAAAAACACACGGACAAGCCAAAAGACACCGAACGGAGTATGAAAGCAGTAGCTGAAAACCTCAAAGTAAGACCTCAAGGGTGAGACGGAGATAACAAGAACCAACTGCGCAGAAACCTGGCGAACGAAACCAGCAGGGATGAACATTTCAGCAGAGGGAGAGAGGAGAATTCACACGAGACGGGGCCACGCCGGTATAAATACAGGCCCCGGCGGCCACGAGATACCACCCGAGAAAAGACTCGCCAGCAACACTGGTGACGACCCTGCATCCTTCTTGAGCAGCCTGGACCCTCCGATCCCCGAATCCTGTCTGTTGTGCATCTCTCATCCCTGCACTTCCCGGTGATGTGCTCTGCATCACAGTCTCTGAAGCCTCGGCTGCATTGCCCTTGCAAACATTCCCGCCGGTTCTCAGACACTAGGCCCATTTTACAGGTAGGGAAATCAAGGCACCAAGAAGGGAGAGCACAACTTTGCTGTGTCTGCTGAGCTCCCACGCAAGACAACACAAGACATCACACCTGAATCTGCCTCTGGTAAAGCAGGGGGACCATGATGGTCAACATCCCCAGGCCTGAGCTGAATCTTTCCAAGCCGCCTCCGATAGAGCAGGAGTCCAGCAAGGACCGGGCCACCCTTTTCAGACAAGTCCCCACATCTGCTGCAACTCTTAGGGATGCCTATTTGACCGGTCAAATAAAGTTTGGTCAACTGACCGATCAAAAATTGCTAAATACGGTTAAGATTCATAGATGTTAGGGTCGGAAGGGACCTCAATAGATCATCAAGTCCGACCCCCAAATTTAAATAACTTTTTTGTGTGTGTGATTTACATTTTAAAAGCAGTCATTTCTTATAAATAATGTTGAAAGAAATGTATTGCACAATTAAATCTTTCGCAAAACCCCCCCCCAACTAAACACAGAAAAAGCACAACTTTTCCTTTCAGAAATGTCTCCACAAATATTCAAAAATCGTATTTCTGCCAAGAAATCTACAACAAAAAAGAAAATTCCCTCCCCATAAAATGGAGAAGATATACTTTTGTTTGCTGTAACCAAAGAAGTATAAAAAAAAAGACTACTATGGAGACCCCCAGCCCTCCGTGGTGGTGATGTGTCGTGGGTTAAAGGGCTGATCGATATAATTAGAAGAGTGTACAAGGCTAATTGTTTCAACAGTACTGATATCCCTAGTTGCTATAATCATAGCAAGCCTTCCTCCAATATTTGACTGATTTTTGGTCCAAAAAAAATGCAGTCAATTGACAATAATATGCCGGTCAATTGACCAACTTGCCAACCCTATTGACTAACGCCCAGTACCGGGACCCCATGAGATGGCAGAGTGGGGGCAGGAAGCTGAAGCACTCTAGGAAATCCCTTTTCCTCCTGATTATCCCCAAAACACCCTGCCCGCTACCTCCATACAGTTGGGCACTCCTGCCCTTCTCCCCTCCCTCTTGCACCCGGGGCGCCTGGAAGATGGAGACCTGGCAGGAACCATCGTCACGTGTACAAGCGCCCCAAAAGATGGGACCCTAAGCAGCACGGGGCTGCCCAGCCCCTCTGCTCTTCGACCCTTCCCCTGCCTCGCCGGGCAGTCGGGGAGCAGCGGGGCTGGACCGGGGAAATGCCTCCCTGATGCTGACCAGGGTGACGCTGGCAGAGCAGGGGCTGTACAAGTGCGTTGTGGGGTACGGCACCCAGCCGAAGCAGGAGAGACACACCAGCCTCCACGTGCTCGGTGAGTACCGCAGAGGGGCTCCCGTGCCCCTGGGGCGGTCGCGATAACGCTGGTCCCAAACACAAGCAGGGGGGTGCTGAGGCGGGTGCAGACCCCGCGCCAGGTCTGCAGGAGTCGGTGAGCGAGTGACTGGTTCAGGATGCTGCGTTGCCCTGGGTTTGTCCAGCCCCGGTTGCAGGCAGAGCCCTAGGAGAGGACCCGGGTGCATGTTGGCAGGGGTGACACAGCGGGGCCAGGACATGGGTGCCTCTCTGTGCCAGGTAGACCCTGTGTGACATCCACACACACCGCCCAGGTACCTGCATGGTACAGGGGAGTCTGGACGCCAGGGAAGAGGGGGACTCTCCATCACTGGAGGGTTCAAGGAGGGGGTGGACAGGCTCAGGTGCAGCGATGCCCGGCATCGGTCCAGGGCTCTGCTGTGGGGGTGCCCTAGGCCGGTTGTCCCCTTCCTGCTCCATGTGTCAGGGGGGTTTTAGGGCACTGGGTGGGGATGGGGCTGGGCTGTGCCAATGCTCCTGCTGCACCCACCCCGCAGGGTCCTGCCCCTGCAATCGGGCTCAGCCCCACGCTGCACTGGGGCAGGAAGGGGTTTCCCCCTTGCTCAGACTGGGAGTTTTTTGCTTTCCACTGCAGTGGGGGCCCGGCCTCGGCCTGCGGTGTCTCGAGCGTATGTCGACGACATTTCATAGATGCTGGCTGCCGTGGTCCCCCTGCTTTACCTGCGGCAGGTTTGGGTGCAATGTCTATGTTGTGTCAGGGTCGACGGTCATTTGATGTCGAGTTTAGATGCTGGTCTGGACAGGGCTGATCCTGCCTCAGGGGTTGGGTTAGATGTCACCGATGCAGGTCCCTGCCAGCCTCACGTCTCTGTGACTCTCTGCTCTTCCCAGCTGCCCCGACCATCTCCATCCCAAACCAAGCGGTCGAGGCCGGCAGAGAGACCTCCCTCCCCTGCCACGTGGAGGGCTTCTACCCCGAGGACGTGGACGTCGCGTGGCTGAGAGACGGGCAGGTCCTGAACGCTACCACCTACTCCAGCCCCCAGAGGAACCTGGACGGGACCTTGACCCTGACCCTGACCTACACTTTCACCCCAGCCAGGAGCGACGCCGGCACCATCTTCTCCTGCCGCGTCCACCACCCGGCTCTGGAGCAGCCGCTGCAGGAGGAGATCGCCCTGGATGTCATAGGTGAGAGCCCACACATCGGTCCAGGGCTCCCCACTGCCATGGGAAATAGGGACAAAAGGCAGAGCGTGGCACTGGGGAGATCTCGATTTGGCCCCATAACAACCCGAAGCTCAGGTGGACTCTCCACCCCTGGAGGGCTCACGGAGAGGGTGGGCAGACACAGGTTGGGGACAATCCAGGTGCAGCGATGCCCGTGCTCTGCTGTGGGGATGTCCAGGTTTCTGGGCTGTATTGGTTGCTTTTCCCCTTTCTGCTCCATGTGTCAGGGGGTTTTTAGGGTGCTGGATGGGGACGGGGCTGTGCCAATGCTCCTGCTGGCACCAACCCCGCAGGGTCCTGGCTGGAGGGGCTTGCCTCCGCACTCAGGGTCAAACTGCATCAGGGCCAAGAAGGATTTTCCCTGTGGTCAGATTGGTCCAAACTGGGGGGGTTTCCCTTCCTCTCATGGTCCTGGCTTGGGGTCTTTGGAGCATATTTTAACACCTTTTGCAGTGGCAAGACGCTGACCACCGCGGTCCCCCTGCTTTCCTTGTGGATGCCTGGTGCTGGGTCAGGGTTGTCAATAATTTTATGAAGATTTTAGGTTATGGGTTTGTCTGGGATGGTTTGGACAGGGCTGATCCTGCCTCAGGCAGGGGGTTGGACTGGATGGGACCCATCACCTGCACAACCCTCCTGTCCTCAGCGTGTTGTCCATGTGGGGGATTCTCCCAGCTGCTTTAAATCACCTTGATTTACATCCATCCTGGCCAGGCGGGGCTGGCTCTGGGGTCTCACCGTGAGCTGAAGTCTGACCTTCATAGACTTCATAGACATCAGGGCTGGAAGGGACCTCGGAAGATCATCGAGTCCAGCCCCCCGCCCAAAGGGCAGGAAGTCAGCTGGGGTCATAGGACCTGTTTTCTTCCCCCTCTCCCGAGCACAGAGATGGGCCACACCAGCGCTGCGACGATCGCAGGCATCGTGGCAGGTGTTTTACTAGGAGCTGTGGCTGTAGCCGCCTGTTGCTGCTGGAGATGGAGGCACACAGGTAGCAATGAGCAGATGGCACTGGGTCGTGGGCCTGCTGGGGAACAGTGGCTGGTCCCCTCCTGCTAGCTGGGACCCCAAAACTTGCAGCCTGCATGTCAGGCTGGAAGTGCCTCCCAGATAACCCTGTGTCCCGTGTGCTGCTGCCCCCCAGGTGAGACTCCCCACTACACGGTCTCCCCGGTGCAGAGCCCGGAGCGGTGTCTGCTGGGGAAGGAGGTGACCCTGCGCTGCTCCGTGGTGGGGGAGCTCACCCAGGGCATGGTCGTGACGTGGGTGCGGATTCGTGGCGAGGACAGGATGGCAATTGAGGATGACGAGGACACGGAAGAGAGCCCAGAGCGTGCACTGATGTTACACACCAGCCCCCGGGGCTGGAGAGCAACGCAGCACAGATCCAAAAACCAACTCATGGCCTACCTGACCTTCACCCCCACGGTGCAGGACGACAGGGTGCGGATCAGCTGCTGCTTCCAACGCGAGGCCAAAGGGATCAAAGAGGAGCAGGAATCCTACGAGATCCGGGTGCGGGGTGAGTGCCGTTCCAGCAGCCACGAAGCAGGGATTTCCAGAGCAAAGACACACGGTCTCCAGGGGATTCGATGTCTAGCTGGGGTGATGCATCAAGCAGGAGTCTCCAAGGGTCTGTCCTGGGTCTGGTATGATTTAGGGTATTCATTCATGAGTTAGATGTTGGGATTGAGTGCCGGCTTTGTAAATGTGCAGATGATACCAAAGTGGGTGCAGTTCACGCAGTCTGGAAGGCAGGGCTAGGATCCAGAGTGACCTGGAGAGACTTGGAGAAATGGTCCAGGATCAATCAGATGACATTCAGCAAGGGCAAATGCAAAGTCCTGAGCTTGGGTTGGAATAACTGCATGCACCAAATACAGACTGGGGAATGATTGACGGGGCTGCAGCACTGCAGAGAAGGGGCTGGGGTTATAGTGGACCAGAGGCTGAATAGGAGCCAGCTGCAAGCTCTCATTGCAAAGCCGACAGCCTCCTGGGGTGTATGCACAGGACTATGGCTTGCAAGTCAAGGGCAGTGATCCTTCAACCTTGTTTAGCATTGGAGACTGCACTTCCAGAAGGACATGGGCAGGCTGGAAAGAGCCCAGCACAGAGCAACCGAAACGATCAGGGACCTGAGACGCAAGAGTGATGAGCACAGCGTGAAGGAGCTGGGGCGATTGAGTCTGGATGAGGGGATCTGATCACAGGCTGCAGATCCCTGCGGGGCGATGGCAGGGAGGCTGGAGATGGGCTCTTCTCTGTGGTCACAGGGGACCGGACGAGGAGCAGCAGCCGCTAGCTGCAGCAGGGGAGATGAGGAGAATTGGAAAAAAGCTACTTAAAAAAGCGATGAGATCTCCAACCCGGGAAGTTTCCATGAGTAGGTTGCATGCACCCTTGGCTGGGATGGTTTAGTCTCTCACTAATGCTCCTTTGTCCCCCCAGCCCCGCCGGAGGTGTCCGAGATCCGGGTGCTACCACGGTGGGAGCCCCCGGAGGAGGTGCCGTTTGCCATCCACATGGAGAACTTTTACCCCAAGAAGATCCCCAGGGTGGAGTGGAGCCGGGATGGGGAAGGTAGTGGGAGACAAGAGCTTGCCCAACAAAGCTCCAACCCAGACGGCACGTTCGCCGCCACCAGCGTCTGGAGAGTGCCCAGCCGGAGCCTGATCCGCCCGGAGCTCCGAGTGCGAGTGTCCATGCAGCAAAGCCCCGCAGAGATCCCGGTTTGGAGAGAGCTCAGCCTCAGAGATGCCGGTGAGGAGGGGGCTCTGACGGGGGAAGAGCCAGGATTGCTGCCACCTACCCCAGAGTCATGGAGGGAGCGGGGGGCAGGCTGGGAGCCAATGCCTCTCACCCCCTTTGCATTTCAACAGTGCCCCAGACGATGTGATGTGACCATAGTGGGGTTGAACAATCAGATGCCCCTGATGGGACCTGTCCCAGTTGCTGGCTGTTTCCTTCCTCAGGTCTCCTGCATCACCCAAAGGTGTTGGACATCTCTGGGCCCAAGCCGGGGACCGCAGAGGGGGAAGTGGCCCTGAGCTGCCGCATCCTGGAGCATTTCCCAGGGGAGCTGCGAGTGACCTGGCTGCGGCGGGGCAGGGGGGAGGCTGCAGCGGTGACCCTGCAGGACACAGCCGAGTGCAGGATCGAGCCCGGTACAGCCATCTCGCAGGACGGGAAGAGCTTCCAGCAGGAGACGCGACTCACCCTCTCGAGGCCCGGCGACCCGGAGGACGAGTACATCTACCGGGTGGGACACGCGACCCTGGAGACCCCCATCGAGAGCAGCAGCAGTAAGTGCAGGGAACGGGCCATTCGAAGTCCAACGTCATATCGAGGGTTCAGAAAAGAGCCGGCCCCTCTTTGCCGACCCCTTGACTCTCCCCGAGCGGTCACACCAGCTCCATCCAGCCCCTCCTGGTATCTCTAATGGGAGAAGTCTCGTTCCCCCATTGCAGGGGAGGAGCGTGGGAGACCCCCAGGACAACAGTGGACCCGCTGACATGCCACGTCTCTCTGTTCCAGCTTGCCGTCGGCGACCTCCAGCAATAGGCAAGATCTCCCAGCCGCTGGTGCTGGTCCCCGGGCAGCCGGCGACGCTGCGGTGCATGATAACAGGTTTCTACCCCAGCCAGCTGGCCGTGACCTGGCTCCGAAAGGGAGCAGGAGACAAGGAGCCCAGGTGTTTGCAGGGCTTGGACACTCACAACATCCACACCCCCGAACCCAGCCGGGCGCCGGACGGGAAGTCCTACAGCGTGGAGTCCGAACTGCACTTCACGCCCGCGGGGCCCGAGGACAACGGGGTCGAGTACCAGTGCCAGGTGCAGCACGAAACCCTCCAGCAGCCAAAATGCAGATCCACTGGGCAGCTGCAGCTCCAAGATCCACGTGGGCCAGCTGTGATGCCAGGCCGATGACCGATGGGGTGCGATGCTCTGCTTCGGGCATGAGGTGCTGTCCGCTCAAACGCTCCCTTGGGCTGACCTTTCTGCTGATGCTAATCAAACTAACGCAGATGATATTACCACAAACGGTAATCTGGTGGCCACGCCAGACAAGAAAGCTGATATTTTTAACAGTTTCTTTGCCTCTGTTTTCCTGAACAGGGACCGGGATATCCCACCTACCAGAGGTAGGGACAACCTTAGGGATAGCTCTATCAAGCCTTCGGTCAGCGCAGATGTAGTTAGGGATCTTCTGGAAGGGCTAGACATCTGCAGGTCCACATGCCCTCCACCCAAGGGTGTTGAGGGAGCTGGCAGGGGTCATCGCGGAGCCCTTGGCCCGGCTGGATGAGCATCCATGGTCATCTGGCCAGGTGCCGGGGGATTGGAAACTGGCTAATGTGGTCCCAATTTTCAAGGGGAGGAAGGAGGACCTGAGTAACTATAGGCCTGTAAGCCTCACCTCGGTGCTCGGGAAGCTCTT